TGCCAACAGATGTATACCCTCAGCCAATGTTTGATTATTTAAATATATTTTGACTTCTGTTATGATTTTTCAAATTGTTGACCCTGTATGGAGTAGGCTCCGAGGGAATGGGCCAATATTGTCCATTTCGTATAGGATCTACATAAATAATATATAAATATTGCGAAGAGCCAGGTTTGGACTATATTGGTTACTTCTTTCACTTTACAGGGTGACATAAAAAACTGCAACAAAGTCAAATTATATAATTTTAAATTTTATTGAATGAAATCAAAAAATGTCGGAAATAGCATCAAATTTTAGATTTGTTCAAATTTGTCAGCTTTGGCACGAATTATGGCCTTCAAACGGCCAATGAAACCGTCACACGCTGCCCGAATGTTGTTCTGTGGAATTTTGGCCCATTCCCGGCGAAGCGCTTGCTTGAGGTCATCGACACTTTGGTATTTTTTAGTGCCAACCTTGCTTTCCAAAATACCCCAGACACAATAGTCCAACGGATTGGTATCCGGAGATTTTGGTGACCATTTTGCGCTGGAAATGAAGCGAGGGACCTCATTTTGTAACCATTCTTGGGTGGCACGTGCTGAGTCCGATGGTGCTGAGTCCTGTTGGAATGTCCAAGGTCTGCGGCCAAAATGTTTGCGTGTTCAAGGCTTGTATACACCCTCCAGCATATTTTCGCGATAATATTCGGCATTGATTCTGATTCCACCGTCGATTAATACGAGCAAAGTGCGACCACCGGCTGTTGTGGCTGCCCACGCCATCACCATGGGCGGCGCTTGAGTTCTGGTGGCCAACTGAAGGTGCACATTTTCAGCTGACCTCTTTGGCAAGTAAACTCGATCATTTTGTTTGTTTACAAACGGCTGGGCAACGAATGTTTTCTCATCGAAAAAAACCAAATTCGGCAGTTCACCACTTTCGGCCAAGTGAAGCAACTCTTTATCTCTTTTGAGTCTATTTATACCTTACACCACAAGGTGGTCAGGGTATTATGTCTTTGTGCATTTGTTTGTAACAGGCAGAAGGAAACGAGATAGATCCATAGTTCCTTTTGATGATCTGCATAGAATCACATTCTGAGTCGATTTATGCATGTCCGTCTGTCCGTCTGTCCATGTATTTTTGTAAACAAAGTACAGATCGCATTTATTGCCCGATCCAGATGAAATTTTGCAAAGATCTTTTGTTTGTCCCAAGGACGAACCCTATTGAAATTGGAGATAATCGGTCAAAATATAGCTCCCATATATATCTTCGTCCGATTTGCCTTTTATTGTGCACCAAACGTGTAATATCAGCCCGACTTGTATGGAATTTTGCATATACACCCAAATTAGGCCTGAAAATATGTATGCCAAATTTGATCGAAATCGGTTTAGATATAGCTATAGCTCCCATATATATTGTTCATCCGATTTGTTATTTTTGTCCACCGCCGCCGTAGTATGCACGATACAACAACAATATTTGGGGAAATATATCAAATACAGCTCAGAAATACATTTGCTAAATTTTATCGAGATCGGTTCAGATTTGGATATAGCTCCCATATATAACTTCGTCCGATTTACCTTTTATTGTGCACCAAACGTCTAATATTTGTCCAAATGAGATGGAATTTGGCACTTACGACCGAATTGAGTCTAGAAGCTAGTATGTCAAATTTGGTGAAGATTGGTTCAGATATAGCTATAGCTTCCATATATATTATTCATCCGATTTGTTATATTTGTTACCCACAACCGTAATGTGCACTCCGTAACAACGATATTCAGGGAAATATATCAAATACAACTCAGAAATATCTTTGCGAAATTTTATGGAGATCGGTTCCGATTTGGATATATCTCCCATATATATCTTTATCCGATTTCAAATTAATTGTTCACCAAATGGGCAATACAAGTCCGAATTTAAAAGATACAAATGCTTTGGCATATTTAGTCCTTTGAACTTTAAATTATAATCATAGTGTGTTTGATTGAATTCTCCCATAAAATCTTTTAATTTTTATGCGGAGCTCTACTAAATTAGCAAAGTGGTGTAGGGTATCATAAAGTCGGCCCCGCCCGACTTTAAGATTTTCTTTACTGGTTTCTTTCTGTTGCCGTGTAAGTTCTTGCAATTTTTGGAATTTCAATGGTTTTACCCCGAGCTCAGTTTTCAATATTTGCCGAATGGAATATTGCGATATGTTCAGCTCACGAGCCATTTTTCGGCCACTGCGACGTGGGTTTCGATCAAGTCGCTTCTTTACTTTTTCAACCATTTCTGCTGATGTTGCTGTTTTCTTCCGTCCACTTCCTTGACGTCGGGCTATGCTACCAGTATCACGGTAACGAGCGAAAGATTTATTCACATTTAAATGCTGGAGTGCTCTAACGATAGCCACTTGTGGTTTTTCAGCCAAATATGAAGAAATCACACTATCACGCTTGAATTCCATCACGAATAACTTTTTTTTCTGGAAAATTCTCAGCAAAATGCTTTTGTACGCTTGTAAACAATATAATGAGCTGTGACTGGAATAATTTTAACAGCTGTCGGACAAGTGGCTTAGAAATGGCAGCAGTCTGAAATTGGTTGCGGTTTTTTTTTATCTCACCCTGTATATTAATTACAATTTTATTGCGGGCAATTGCTTGAGACATGTAAACAACTGCACAACATTTTCTCTGAAGCCATATTTTTCAGAGGAATAAAAACATATTTTTCGCATTTTCAGATGAAAAAGATCGGTTGAATGAAAAAAAATAATAATTGTTTGTTCTTTTTTCAATTCAAGGTTAAGGTTAATGTTTTCTCCAATATCCTTAAATATAATTTTCATAATTATTTTCTACTTATTTTTTATTTTATTTTTTTATTTGTTGAAATAACAAAAATATAATCTCTCAAACAAATATAAACAATGAATGCCGTTCTTAGTTTAAATCTAGAAAATATCAAAATCGATTTTAGTGATTTATTGGATTTCCCTGCCAAAAAATTTTACTTGAAATTGTCTAAACATTTGAGATTTTTTAAATAAACATTGAATATTAATAAGACGTCTTCACTCAATGGGTTGCCAGCCACTCTGTTTGGCGTGTTCTTCTTGTTCGCAAAATGAGAATAGTTTGGACCTTCTTTCTGCCGAAGCACACAAGCTCTAAAAATATAATTTGCAATGAGAACATTTTTTTTATGGTCGGTGAACAGCAAATAAAAAACAAATTTCGATTGTTTTTTTTCGAAAAGATTTTCAATTTTCATTATGAATGTTAAGGTTAAGTGGTGGCCAGGAAACGAACGTAAGGGAAACATATGATAGCCATTTAGAGGTTGAATTTGTTTTTGGCAAACAAATGAAAAGTGTTTTTCCTTTGAAGAATTAATAGATTGAGGAACTAAATGTTTGGTGGATCATTTAAAGATGATTTGAAATATTGTACATCTCAAAACGGATACGGGGCATTCCATGGCAAGTTGAAATAAATATCAATGCGCCTCTTTGTAGGATACTAGGGTCGGTTATTACATCTTGTCTATAGATAAAAAATAGATGGACATTTTCACTTCCGACTCTTTTTGCAAAAGTAATTGCAGATTTAATGAAATTAATTACATTTTTTATAAATTAAATTAAAACAATTTTTTTTAAATAAAATGAAGATGCCATTGGGAAAAAATGCAGTGACTACCAGTTACAATTACAAAAAGTAATCATTTTATTGCCATATCTCTTAAAAAAATGCATTTTTGTTTTCCTAAAGTAAGGATAACAAAACTGTATTATTAAAACAAGTAAAAAAACTGTAAGTTCGACCGGGCCGAACTTTGAATACTCTCCACCATTTGGAAAGAATTTGGCAATTTTCAAAAAAAAAATCCGTTAAAAAAAATCTGTTAAAATCTTAAAAATACCGAATGCAGCCGTATATTAGGGTCTATACGACGACATAGACCTGCATAGGCAACTTTTGTCACAAGCTATTACAATATTCAAATGCGAAACTTGAAAAAATCTATTTATAATTTAGCTATAATCATCAAAATACCGAATATAGGGAAGTACCATGGAGGTTATAAAACGTGGACTTGCACAAATAATTTTCTGGCATAGGCTGTAGTATCCATTATGAACTTCAAATACGAAACAATTCCGGTAAATAATTTCGCTAAAATCATCAAAATACCGCATATCGGGAGGTACCGTTATATGGAGGCTATACGAAGACGTGGACCTACATGGTCCATTTTCGGTCTTAGGCTGTAGTATCTATTACGAACTTCAAATACCAAATTTGAAACAATTACGATAAATAATGTCGCTAAAATTATAAAAATACCGAATATCGGGAGGTACCGTTATATGGGGGCTATACGAAGACATGTACCTGCACAGACAATTTTCTGGCAGAGGCTGTAGTATTCATTACGAACTTCAAATACGAAATTTGAAACAATTCCGGTAAATAATGTCGATAAAATCATCAAAATACCGAATAATGGAGGGTACCGTAAATGTGGACCTACATGGCCCATTTTCAATACTAAAGGTCCTGCAGACACAATACACATTTGAGTATATTTTTATCAACTTACTTAATTACGTTCGGAAGCTAGAGTGATTCCCGCAGACTGATAGACGGACGGACATCGCTAAATAGACATAGAATTTTATGCTGATCAGTAAAATATATACTTTGTGGGGTCTAAAATGTATGCTTCGAGGTGTTACTGTTCTCCTCTGAGACAAGAGATTGTCCTCTCGCTCGGCGTGGGAAAATTTGAAAAACGTCGATAACACTTCTTTTTTTGTACAAATCTATAGGGAATGACTCGTATGCGCACAATTCCAAGGCAAACAAAAGCCATTAACCTCAGCGATATCAAACACTTGTAAAATTTAGAAAAAATAATTTAATAATTTATGTTTTCTTCCAAATACTAGAAAATATTTTTAAATAATATATAATAAACTGTTTCTGTTTTTATTTCATTTTCAGATATTCAACTCTTTGTAGATTGGAGAATTTCAAATTGCATGTAAGTAGAAAACTATAGAAGATATGATTGTATTGAGAACAAAAATCAATAGAAAAGAAGATACAACTATTGTGAGAATGCCACAAAATCTTATGGTCGAATGGAGGGTACATCAAGTTTGTCATTCCGTTTGTAACACCTCGAAATATACATTCTAGACCCCACAAAGTATCAGCATAAAATTCTATGTCGATTTAGCTATGTCCGTCCGTCTGTGGAAATCACTATTTCACAAGAACGAAATGAAGTAGGTTGATAAAATTGTACTTAAATGTATATTATGCCTACAGGACTTTTGGTATTGAAAATGGGCAATGTAGGTCCATGTTTTGGTATAGCCCCCATATAATGGTACCTTCCTCTTTTTGGTATTTTGGTGATTTAAGCGACATTATTCACCGGAAATGCTTCAAATTTGGTATTTGAAGTTTGTGATGGGTACTACAGACTATGGCAGAAAATTGTCCGTGCAGGTCCACGCCTTCGTATAGCCCCCATGTAACGGCAGCTCCCGAAATTTGGTATTTTGATGATTTTAGCGATATTTTTCACCGGAATTGTTTCAAATTTGGTATTTGAAGTTCGTAATGGGTACTACAGCCTAGGACAGAAAATTATCTGTGCAGGTCCACGTCTTCGTATGGCCCCCATATAACGATACCTCCCTATTTTTGGTATTTTGGTGATTTAAGCGACATTTCTCCCTGGAAATGCTTCAAATTTGGCATTTGAAGATCGTAATGGATACTACAGTTTATGACAGAAAATTGTCTGTGCAGGTCCACATTTTGATATAGCCCTACATAACGGTACCTCCCTATATTCGGTATTTTGATGATTTTAGCTACATTATTCATCCTTTCTTTTAAGTTTCGCCTTTGAATATTGTAATGGCTTATGTCAAAAGTTGTCTATATAAGATTTTAACAGTTGTTTTTTTTTTTTTTTGAAAATTGCCAAATTCGTTCCAAATGGTGGAGGGTGTTCAAAGTTAACAAGTTTCTTGTTAAGAGAAATATTTAGATAAGGCAAGTTGTGAAGAATCGTCGACTTGTTGCGCAAGTTATGACAGATATAAGTATTCGAAATTGTGACCCTTTATGTGTAAGGTACCAAAAGGGGTTGACAGCTATATATCATCTTCAAAACAGATCTTGCGTTAGCAAAATATTTGGATGTGTGAAATTTGAAGAGAGGTGGATGCTTATTTCCCGTTCTTTGAGCGTTTTGTTTTACAAAAATCTTGAACCCTATGTGGGGGAGGTACCGGAAGAAATAGTCCGATCTCTACCATCTTTATAACAGATCTTGTATTTATAGAAATATTGAGATGTGCCAAGTCTGAATAGAATCGAATGTTATTTTCGTGTTTTGTGAGCTTCATGAATATTCAAAATGTTCACCCCATGTGAGGGAGGAACCAGAAGTATTGGACTAATATATTCCATCTTCACACTAGACCTTGGGTTAATAAAAATCTTGTTATGCGTGTAATTTAAAAAAAAAAATTGGACACTTATATCACATTTTATAAGAGTTACAATTATTCAAAATTTTGACCCTTTGTGGGGGAGGTACTAAATGGAGTGGACCGACATTTTCCATTTTCTCACCTGACCCAGCACTGATGCAAATATTAGGATTTGCAAAGTTTGAGGAAAAATCGGGTTATCCTTTCTCTTTCTGTGCAGTAAATTATTTTCTTTGAAAATATTGACATTTTGTGGGGGAGGTACCGATACTGCCCATCTCCAAACTCGATCTAAGTTTGACAATAATATTATGATGTACAGAGTTTGGATCAAATCGGATACTCCCTTCGATAGTTATCGTGTACACCAGCCAGACGGACGGGCGGACGGACGGACATCGCTAGATCGACTCCAAATGTCCTGAAACGGATTTGGTGCAAAGAGACCTAGGGTCTAAAACCCTTATGATATATACGCTCTCTAGCCATATGGCTGAGGGTATAAAATGCGTGCCCTGTTAACAAAGTTTATCACCCGCTTCTTCCATTTTATTTTCGGTTCATTTCTTTTGCAGAATTTTCAATTTTAAAGTGAAGATCAACCAGTCCATACATGTATGCATGGATTTTTATTGTCCATCCCTCATTTATATCTACCTCATTGGCAACGGAAATTATGGCACACGCATAATTTCAGTGACCCAACATAATCGCCAGCAACATTGTCATCGTCTCATCACAAATTCAATGATAAATTTACGCCATCAAAGATTGACTGCCTGACCGACTGGCTGGGTGGTTCGTTGGCTAGCTGGCTGGAAAATGGACAGACAAGTTTGATTGCGTGAGGGCGAGTGTGTGTGTGTGGGCCACTGAAGTGACTAAACTATTCATAGAATTGACATTAATTTTGTTGACCCCTCAAGTCCAATCATTTATATCAACTTGTCGCAGATGGGTTATTTTTGCATCATTTGTTTTTAGATTTTTGTCTCAATTTACGGAAAGGAGGGGATCGGAAGAGTAGTGTTGATATGTTACTGAAAATCATTGATAAAATATGCTATGACACTCAAATTATATTGATAAATGAAATTGTTTTAAAATACTTAAAAATGCTCTATACTTTGCAAAATTTAAGATTTTTCTTTAAATAGTCTCACATAACGGTATCACCCACGTCGAATCGTATTAGATTAATATGGTGCTGAGAGGTACTATTATTTGGGACTACACAATAAAAATTTGCAGGAGAATTCAAAGCCTATATACATAATTACCCAATACCTCCATTTTGAATTTCTCATCTCTCCAGGTACTATTGATTAGGTACGTGGACCTGGGAGGTACCGTTATATGGCGACTACACCATTATATATACCCATGTAGAAATGTTTCTGTAAGATAATTTTCTATTCCCAAAGTAGCCTAAAAACAAATTTTTAGCCAAATCGAAATCGGTAAATTTAGGAGGTTATATGGGCACTTCTCTAAATCATTCTGCGAGGAGGTTTTATACCCTCTTAGAAACCAAGATGCAAAATAAGGGACAAATCAATTAAAAAATGTGTCCAAGACCACAGAAATAGCTGAATTCAGGGGATATCTTCACGTTTTTGTACGTGGACCGAAATTGATATTTTTTGTCGGAAGGATGAGTTTTTCTTACTAAGAACTCAAATTACCAAAATTTACCGAAAATAGTATAAACAAGTTCAAAAGTATCTGTCGGTTTTGCCGGCAGATGTATACCCTCAGCCAATGTTCGATTATTTAAATATATTTTGACTTCTGTTATGATTATTCAAATGTTTAACCCGTTATGGAGTAGGTTCCGAAGGAATGGACCAGTATTGGCCATTTCGTATCGGACCTAAATAAATATGACATAAATATTGCGAAGTGCCAGATTCCGACTATATTGGTTACTTCCTTCAGTTTATATGAGGTTTTGCCGACAGATGTATACCCTCAGCCTATGTTCGATTACTTAAATATACAGGGTGAGATGAAAAAACTGCAACAAAGTCCAACGCCATAATTTATACATATTTTTAAATGTTATTGAGTGAAAGAAAAAGAATGTCGGAAATAGCATCAAATTTTAGAATAAGTTTAGATTTGTTCGAATTGGTCACCTTTGGCACGAATTAAGGCCTTCAAACAGTCAATGAAACCGTCACACGCTGCCCGAATGTTGCTCTGCAGTATTTTGGCCCATTACCGGCGAAGCGCTAGCCTTAGGTGATCGATGCATTGGTATTTTTTAGTGCCAACCTGGCTTTCCAAAATACTCCAGACACAATAGTCCAACGGATTGATATCCGGAGTTTTTGGTGGCCATTGTGAAAATGAAGCGAGGAACCTCATTTTGTGACCATTCTTGGGTGTTTCGCGTGCTGAGTGCGATGGTGCTGAGTCCTGTTGGAATGTCCAAGGTCTGCGGCCAAAATGTTTGCGTGCCCAAGGCTTTAATACACCCTCCAGAATATTTTCGCGATAATATTCAGCATATATATACCATATCAATATATACCTCTCCAATAATAAACAAACGTTGTTTTTATAAAAACAATAATGAAGGGATTAAGCCTGACTATTTTGCAACAACAAAATTCGGCATTTATTCTGATGCCACGGTCGATTAATACGAACGGAGAGCGAGCATCGGCTGTTATGGCGGCCCACACCATCACCTTGGCCGGCGCTTGGGTTCTGGTGGCCAACCGAAGGTGCACATTTTCAGCTGACCTCTTTGGCAAGTAAACACGATCATTTTGTTTGTTTACAAACTGCTGGACAACTAATAATTTCTCATCGGAGAAAACCAAATTCGGCAGTTCACCATTTTCGGCCAAGCGAAGCAACTCTTTTACTCTTCTAAGTCTATTTTCTTTCTGTTGCGGTGTAAGTTATTGCACTTTTTGGAATTTCAATGGCTTTACCCCGAGCTCATTTTTCAATATTTGCCGAATGGAATATTGCGATATGTTCAGCTCATTTCGAGCCACTGCGACACGGGTTTCGATCAAGTCGCTTCTTTACTTTTCGAACCATTTCTGCTGATGTTGCTGTTTTCTCCCTTCCACTTCCTTGACGTAGGGCTACGCTACCAGTACCACGGTAACGAGCGATGGTACGAGACACAAAAGATTTATTCACATTTAAATGCTGGAGGGCTCTAATAATGGCCACTTGTGATTTTCCAGCCAAATATAAAGAAATCACACTATCACGCTTGAATTCCATCACAAATAACTTTTTATCTGGAAAATTCTCACCAAAATGCTTTTGTACGCTTGTAAACAATATAATGAGCTGTGACTGGAATAATTTTAACAGCTGTCGGACAAGTGGCTTAGAAATGACAGCAGTCTGAAGTTGGTTGCAGTTTTTTCATCTTACCCTGTATATTATAGTCGCGATATTATAAAGGTAGATTCTTGCAGTTCTGGAGAGCAACTACAAATTATTGGGTTATCGTACACATCTTCTGAGTGGCACATTGATTTTTAGGGTAGTCTCGGAA